CCCCCGCACTTCCCCACTGCGCTCCTCAGGACCTTCCTGCCCCTTAACGTGTTCCTCTGGGAGCCTGTCCACCCAGCAAACACCTGCCGGCCCTCCCAGGTGCCGCGGAGGCCCCCTCCAGCAGGCCTGACAGGGAGCAGCGGAGGGAAGCCCCCCAGGCCAGGGTGGTGTCCAAGGTGAGGCACAAGGGGTTCGAACCACGGTGCCCTCCATCAGGCCAAGCAGGCACCTGTGCTGGCTGGCAGCGCAGCCCAAGGCCAGGGCCACAGGCCCTCCCCGGCTGGCAGACGCCACCACTTGCTTCTCTGATGCCTCTTCTCTACCCTGTGCGCTCCTGACCAACGCCTGCCCTGGCACGGGGACACCTCAGTCGGTCTGACAAGGACAGGGTAAAGGGACAAAGCAGGTGACTAAATAGTTAATCCTACTAAGGGATCATACGTAAAGGAAAACATACGGGAGACCCCTATAAGTTAACGATCACTCTAGAAAGCAGGTTTGCTTAACCACAAAACCAAGCAGGCTTGCTTGGCAACAAACCATGCAACATAAGCACAAGACATGCCCCAGGACAATAAAATGGTGGAATGAGACCCACATCCTGCCCAGTAAGGTCAGTAAGTTAATGGTTCCTAAGACACACTCCTCTGCGCAAGCCAAAAACAAAAATATAAGGACAAGGTGACGCTATACTGAAGCCTGAGATGTTTTCCCATATTTTAGTATGTGTTACCACCTTTCTGCTCGTTTCCACTGCGCCATGACAGTCCCAGTTTGACCGTTAGGGACAAGAAAACTCCGCCCCCCACCCCCAAGTGGAGGAGGAGCTGATGATGGAAGCCTGATGTCTACTCAAGGATGAGGAAGCAGGTGGTCTTCTCCCCCTCCTCACTCTCCCTTTGATTATAAAACTGTAGCCTACTAAGTTCTGGGCACAGTGCCCTCCTGCCCACCCACTTGTAAACCTCACAAGCGTCCTATTCTAATAAATCACTTATCTACCACTTTTGTCTCTCGCTGAATTCTTTCTGCGAGTGCGGAAGAAGGCAGTCTCCCCGCTGCCCACTTTCCTTCCGCTATAAAAACGTAGCTTAGTTCTCAGGGCAGAGCTCCCCGCCTGCCCGCTTGTATCTCTCACAGGCGTCCTACAGTAATAAACTCTTTCCTTACCTGTCACTCTGCTGCTCAGTGAATTCTTTCTGCGCCGAGACAGAAGACCCTTCGCTCTACTATCACCCGAGACGCGTTCCGTCGGTTTCAGGCCCTCTGGGCCCAGGTGCTATCTGGACCCCTGGACGAGATCCCGCTCTCCCAGCTCAGCTGGCTCATTCCTTGGAGTAGCAACTCTCAAGGAAGGGCGGCCTTACGTTCCTCTTTCCGGGTCTGTGAGGGCCTGCACCCTCCCCACACCCACGAGAACCCACCAGCTGTGCTCTCTGCGTGGTCACCGTCCCCTGAACCACGTTTACTGGAACTCCCACTTGTCCCTCTCTGAGGGCACCGCCCCAGCACCCATCACACTGTCCACACAGCAGGCCTTTCTGCTCTGCCACGATGCGTATATTCCCCAAGCCCACGAGCAAACCAGGACAACTTCCGCCTGGCCTTAACGCCACTCTGCTGACTGGTGGCCATAAACACCGAACAGACTGGACTTTTCTTCTGGGAAGAACGGTCAATCCCACATTCTGCTTATCTTGATAGGCAGTACAGGGAATGTTATTTACATGATACTTTGCACAAAGAGTAACCCCAAAATAACCGTGCAGGCATCAAAAGGTCGGGCACTTCCTTCTCTCCATTCACAACGTTTCTGGACCGTGGTGAGCGCAGGAGTCAGCCGCTCACTTCCCGCCCCACGGGAAGAGATTTCAGAGCAGGGTCTGCCCCGCCGACTGGGGGACCCACCCCGGACTCCTGGACAGCCCTGGTGCCCGCTCTGGTGAAACTAGTAAGAACATCGTCGTGAAAACGCAAACGCTTTTTCTAAAAGCTCCGTCCTCGGCTTCAGGAGTCGCACACGGCGTTGGCAACGACTGCCCCGGGCCGAGCCGGGTGTCCCGGGCCTCACCCGGACTTCGGACCCTCCCCACCCCCCGAACGGCGGGGCCGCGGCCGCCGACCCGGCTCCACCGACCCCCGACTCCGTCATCCGAGGGGCCCAGCCGGCAGCAGATGCCGGCCGCCCGAGGCCCCGTCGGCCTGCGGCGCGCCGCCTTCCCTCCGCCCCGGGGCCGGGAAGGGGCTGTCACGTCCTGGGACTCTCACTCACCGGCCTCCCTCGCCGCACCCAGGATCCGCCGAGCGCGACCCGAGCGCCCGCGACGCCTCCAACGGGGAACCGCTTAGGCCGCGGCCATCACTCTTCCGGGAAGAGGCGGGTCGCAGGGCGGTGCGACCTCCCCGCGCCGATGCCGGCGCCGCCATCTTTCCCCCGGGCGGAAGCGGCCTCACCGCCCTCCCGGGCGGCCAATAAGGAGCGTACGCGGGTCCACGTAGCCCGACGGCGCGGTCCGCGGCGCTCCCCGCGCCATGAAGCTGCTGCGGCGTGCGTGGCGGCACCGAACGGCGCTGGGCCTGAGCGCCCTGGCGCTGGGCGGCGCCGCGCTGCTCTACCTGGCGCGCTGCAGGGCGCCCGTCGACCCCGCCGCGCCCGCGCCCTTCGGCCCCGCGCGCGCCGCCGCTTTTCTGGCCGTACTGGTGGCCAGCGCGCCGCGGGCGGCCGAGCGGCGCAGCGTGGTCCGCAGCACATGGCTGGCGGCGCGGCGCGGCGGCCCCGGGGACGTGTGGGCGCGCTTCGCCGTGGGCACCGGCGGGTTGGGAGCCGACGAGCGGCGCGCCCTGGAGCGCGAACAGGCACGGCACGGCGACCTGCTGCTGCTGCCCGCGCTGCGTGACGCGTACGAGAACCTCACGGCCAAGGTGTTGGCCATGCTGGCCTGGCTGGACGAGCACGTGGCCTTCGAGTTCGTGCTCAAGGCAGACGACGACTCGTTCGCGCGCCTGGACGCGCTGCTGGCCGAGCTGCGCGCCCGCGACCCTGTGCGCCGCCGCCGCCTCTACTGGGGCTTCTTCTCGGGCCGCGGCCGCGTCCGGCCCGGGGGCCGCTGGCGCGAGGCCGCCTGGCAGCTCTGCGACTACTACCTGCCCTACGCGCTGGGGGGCGGGTACGTGCTCTCGGCCGACCTCGTGCGCTACCTGCGCCTCAGCCGCGAGTACCTGCGCGCCTGGCACAGCGAGGACGTGTCGTTGGGCGCTTGGCTGGCGCCGGTGGACGTGCAGCGCGAGCACGACCCGCGCTTCGACACCGAGTACAAGTCCCGCGGCTGCAACAACCAGTACCTCGTGACGCACAAGCAGAGCCTGGAGGACATGCTAGAGAAGCACCGGACGCTGGCACGCGAGGGCCGCCTGTGCAAGCGGGAGGTGCAGCTGCGCCTGTCCTACGTCTACGACTGGTCGGCGCCACCCTCGCAGTGCTGCCAGCGGAAGGAGGGCATCCCCTGACCGCCGCGAGCAGGGCTGGGACGCCCGGCTCCCGACACTGCGCAGCCATTCTGCCGCTCGTGGTGGTGTGTGGAGGCTGGACCGAGTCACTGGGGGCCGCCCGCCGGCCTTCCACTGGTGAAGCTGACAGCTTCTGGCTGGTCGTTAGCATGAGGCCGGCCCTCGAGAGGACCCAATTTACCTGGTGACTATGGGCCAGATGCCAGGCAGCAGTGGACAGCTCCTAAGCCCTGGCTCCGCTAAGCGCCCATACGTGACAGCCTACCCGAGGGCATCTTGTTCTGCGTCTGGGGCCAGCATCCTGTCAGACAGAATTTCTGTCCCTGGCACTGGAGACTGTCCCTGGATTTCAGCGTTTTGCCTGGACGTGGGCAAGTCCGCAGGGAGCCCCGTGGGGCCTGAGCACACACTGTTCTCTCCCAGGCCGGCACCAAGGAGCCATAGGATGGAGCTGACAGGCCTTGCAGGACATGACGCCAAAGAAAAATCCCCACCCCTCAGGGCTGGGGACAATGTCGTGTCCTGCCTCCACTGTACTGACCATCCACCTGCACCTGCTGAGGGCTGTGACCGCTGTTAACTGGTCCCTGGCACTTGGAGACTCGCCATGTGATGCAACCCAACAGCTTTTATAGAAGTTACTGTTGCTTTATGCCGTTAGGTCACCTCTTGTGTCTCCTGCTGGTGACCCTTGTCACATGTACGTCTAGGGTTTAACTTCGTTTTATGTGAGTCAGCTTTCGTGGTATTTTGGTCTGTGTGTTTGTCTGGAGTGAATTCGTGGTATGTGTAATTCAGAGCTTGCCTGCTATTTATTTATAAATTTTGTGAATTTGCGAAGATAAGCGTTTCAGTTGAGAGTGGGGGGGGGGGGGCTCATATATTTTGGTATTTAAGAGAGGACTTTTCTACGAGAACTTGGAACTTGTGGGTTAATCAGTTTTTCCAACTTGAGTTGTAGACGCATTGCTGCTTAAGAGTTGAGACATGGAAGAACTCATCCACCTCTCTTGTTTACGTGGAAGGTGACCCCACTGTCTCTCTCTAAAAACACTTTTCTTTAAGGCTTCCTCTCGGCCGCCCAGGGCAAGTGTTTCTGGAAGCATTGACGAGTTTCCCAAAATCTGTCTTGAGACAGCCTTGCTGTGGCATGTCCCCTTGCGGACAGCAGGAGTTCGTGGCACCCTTGCACGTCCCCAGAAGGTTGGGGCTTCCTCTTTTCCCCGTTAAATGTGGAAAGTGAGCACTGTGGTCATTGCAGAAGTCAAGTAAAATGGCTCCCGGGAAACGGGGAGCCCTCCTCAGGCTGGGGGTGTGAGAACTCTGCATTTTCTGTCTGGGTCCGGGCTGTGCTGCCACCTGCCTGCAGCCCAGGCTCTGGGGCACTAGGAACAGGAGGGCACAAGTCTCTGACTCACCTGTTTACTGCCATTCCCGAGCCCTCTCAGGCTGTGCATTTTAGGAGCGGTATCTTGGCCCAGGCTTAAACATCAGACGGCTCTCTCTTGTGGCTTCTGGAGGCTGGGGGCCTGCGATCGGGGTGCCGGCGTGGTCGGGTTCTGTCAAGGCCCTCGTTCTGGTGTGCAGGGGGCCACCTTCCTGCTGTGCTGTGGTGGGGGAGCCAGGGCGAGCTCTCTGCTGTCCCTTCTTATCAGGGCACTAATCCCCTCATGGGCCCCCTGACCCTGATCCAGACGCCACTGCACCAGGGCATTGGGGCCGTCTGATTTGGGGGGCACAGTCAGTCCATAGTGACAGGTTTGGTTATTTTTGTCTAAAGGTAGAAGGATATCAAGAACTCTCAGGGGCTTCCCTAGTGGCGCAGTGGTTTAGAATCCGCCTGCCAATGCAGAGGACATGTGTTCGAGCCCTGGTCCGGGAAGATCTCACATGCCGCGGATCAGCTAAGCCCGTGCGCCACAACTACTGAGCCTGCACTCTAGAGCCTGCGAGCCACAGCTACTGAGACGGCATGCCACAACTACTGAAGCCCGCGTGCCTAGAGCCCGTGCTCCGCAGCAAGAGAAGCCACCGCAATGAGAAGCCCGCACACCACAACGAAGAGTAGCCCCCGCTCGCTGCAACTAGAGAAAGCCCGCGCCCAGCAACGAAGACCCAAGGCTGCCAAAAATAAATAAATAAATAAAAACTCTGGGTCTCAGTCCAGAAAGGAGGGGGCGGTCTTATGGTTGGTGACCTGACCACAATTCTCCTGCCTTGAGAAGGCAGAGGCTGGACAGCAGAGGCCCCAACCTCTGACCTGGCACTGATTATGAGGTGTGGTGAGCCTTGCACCAGGACTGACTGCGTGGCTGAAGGTTTGGGGACACCAGGGTGAGCAGGATGGGGCCCTGCCCTCCACTGGGTAAGTGCTGAGGGATGCTGACCACGGCAGGACCCAGTTCCTGC